GACACCCCGGGGCAGCATGGTGAAGGACGCCGTTGACTGCCTTGGGGCCCCCAGACAGGCACACCATTGTGAGTCACACTGAGTATGCGAACTCCCCCTTCCCATGACTGGCACTATTCTTAGTACCATTCTCTGCTCCCTGGGACAGAGGTCACTGGGAGCACCGTCCAGTTGGGTGGGTGGGTGGGGCTGGGTACAGGGAGAAGGAGGAAGAGGCTTTAGGGTTTTAGGATATGGTGAAGCAAGGGCAAGAGATGCAGCCCCGGGGATTTGGGCAGAGCTACCCAAGGCAATCCAGAAACGTCCTCTGGGAGAGTCTGTGACTGGGAGCATCAGCCTCATTCCCTTGGTTCAGCAAGTCTGGTCCTTAAGAAGTGCCCATGGCCCAGATACGGGTCGCCAGTGTGCTTCAGTCCTGGAGCTGCCTCCCAGCTGTGTGCTTCCATCAGGTGGCCCTCGTATGCCTGCCCAGACCTGAAGTGAACGTGACACCTGGTTGTGGAAGCAAGTGTAAGACTGACTGTCCACGAGTCCGTCCAGGGGATGGACCTACCCTGGACCCAGAATGCGTGCCCTGACCCGGCACGCATTTGCAACCGCGACAATAATTTGCGTCCTTCCTATATATGGCTCCCCATAACCCAAAGGGCAGTCTGCAAAAGGGGGGACCCCTGGGTGGCTCAGTGGTGGAGCATCTGCCTTTTGCTCAGGGCGTGACCTCATGGTCCCGGGATCGAGTCCTGCATCGGGCTCCTTGCAGGGAGCCTGCTTCTCCTTCTGCCTGTGTCTCTGCCTCTCTCTGTATCTCTCATGGATAAATAAATAAAATCTTAAAAAAAAAAGAGTCCTCAAGAAAGAGGAATCTTTGGGGGTGGATCTCAAGGGCTCCTTTCATTTGGTGCCACACGTAAGCCTTCTGAAGGCTGAACAGCCACGTTAGGAGACCCATGGCAGGAGCCCTGCGTGTGCCTGTCAGCAGGGGTGGGTTCACAGGATCTGTCTTCCAGAGTTGGGGGAAGGAGACTTGAGCTGACATCACCGTGTTTTGCCTTTGCTTGTTGTGAAGCTGACCAGAGACATTTCTCCCCATTAAAGTCTGTATGCTTTTGTTAGGCATCTGGTTTTCCTGTTTAGGCTCCCTCTTGCCTGTGGTGTGAATAGGAAAAAAAGAAGTTTGAGAGCACCTCACCCATGATCTGGGCTCCTAGTTCCCAAGTTTTACAGTTTTATGTTCCTTATGAACAGAGGAAGATTCACCACGGGGAAAACACACAAACCCACAGACGACAAGAATTCACCCTGCTGCCGCCGCCCCACCACCCGGCCCCACAGGCAGACACGGGTCACACACAGGCCTGCAATGTGTCCATTTGGGCCGTGGCACCGGGCAGGAGAAACAGCAAGGGTAGTCCTGTCCCACGTCCCTGCCTCTGGGAGCTGCTGCCAGCGACGGGACTTAAACTCCCCGCTTTGCACTTTTTGGCTGCCCCGTCTCAAGGGCCAGGGACTGGGAGGCGTTCTTGGGCCTTTCTCTTGGGGGCCTGGAATGTGGCTGCTGCTCCCCGCCAATGACCAGGATGTGCCCGGGCGGAAGGATCCCGATCTGTCCTTCTTTCCTCTCCCGCAGCTTGGTGTGACTAGCCCTCCGCTCTCCAAAGGGATGTGAAGATGAATAGTGGGAAAGAGGTTTGAAGGTAGATAGTGGGAGGGAGAAGAGTGAAGTTACAGCCTAACAGCCACGAGGAGGGGACTGACCTGTTGGGCTGGAAAGGTCACCTGTGGAGATGAACCACAAGGTCACCAGTGGTCGGATGGTCAGGAGAACCGTTGGCCATGCAGTGTCCTGAGTCTGCTGTGACAAGTGAAAAAGAGATGCTTTTTTTTAAACAAACAAACAAACAACAAACAAACAAACAACAACAAAAAACCAACTTGGTCCTTTTACCCATTGGCTCCCCTCAGCCAGCCAGGCTGTTGGGAGGCTAGCTTCCAGGACAAAGCAGCGTGAAGATGAAGGGCTTGGGGGTCAGACTGCCTGGGCTCCACTCAATGGCCATTTTACTCCTTAGTGGCCTTGGACGAGGCCAGTGGACACAAGGGACACAGTACCTCAGTTTTATCTGTTGTAAAAATGGTGAAAGCAGGGCAGCCGCAGTGGCGCAGTGGTTTAGTGCCGCCTGCAGCCCGGGGTGTGATCCTAGAGGCCCGGGTTCGAGTCCCACATCGGGCTCCCTGCATGGAGCCTGGTTCTGTCTCTGCCTCTCTCTCTCTCTCTCTCTCTCTCTCTCTCTCTCTCTGTGTGTGTCTCTATGAATAAATAAAATATTTTAATAAAAAAATCGTAAAAGCAAATTTGATAATCCCAGTATCTACTCCCTGGAGTTATCTTTAGCAATAAATGGGATGAATATAAAGCATCACACGCAGTGTCTGGTACATAGTAAGTACACAACTCCCAACTCTTGTTTGCTTTTTTCTTTGTCTAGGGCCTTTTTTTTTTAAGATTTTATGTATTTATTCATGAGAGACACAGATTGAGAGAGAGAGAGAGAGAGAGAGAGAGAGAGAGAGAGAGAGAAGCAGATTCTGTGCAGGGAGCCAGATGCGGGATTCAATCCCAGGACCCTGGGATCATACCCTGAGCCAAAGGTAGATGCTCAACCACTGAGCCACCAGGTGTCCCTGTCCGGGGTCTTAAAGCAACTGCCCTCTCTGTCTTAGGTCTCCACTCTGTGGCCTTGGCCCAGGAGAGGACTGTAGACTCCAGGGCCCATTCCCATAGTTTCAGAGTAGTTGAGTTTTCTTTGTCATATCTCTCTTGAGAATAATATTAAGACAGCGATGTCCTCTGGGGTAGAGTCATTTTGCGCCACCTCAGGAAATCGGGTCTTTGGCAAGGGTTGTTACAACTGCTTTTTTCTGAGTTTCTTTGCTACCCGAAATTCCATAGCATTTCTTAGTAGAGACGTGTACTTAGCCTGCCCATCCAGGACGGCTTCTCAACGGATTCCTCATGTAGGGTCACGTTTCATCCAGTGAGCCGAGCCGGGCAGTAGTGGCTGGCAACGTTAACTCAACTCCCAACAAATCTGCAAATGTGCCTGAGTTGTATGCGAAATGGTGTTTTAATCAGGGGTGAAATGGAAGAGGGTAGGGTTTTCCCAGTGAACGGTCTGGGCTGTTTCTTTGAATGTTATTTTGTAGGATCCACTGAATCATTTTTTTTAAAGATTTATTTATAAATTTATTTTTTATTGGTGTTCGATTTGTCAACATATAGAATAATACCCAGTGCTCATCCCGTCAAGTGCCCACCTCACCACTGAATCATTTTATTCTAGAGTATGCATAAGGTATTTCTTACAGGATGGTTTTAAGGTGCTCAAGGTGCATTCCTAGCAAATAAGGTAGAGCTATTTCATCTTCCATATTTAGCTTGGACTGTGGGGAGGAGGATACGGAGAATCTCCTCCAGCAGACAGTCGCATATCCATGTCGGTGCCTATAGCCCGGGTGCTTGGATCCTGAAGGCCTGGGCACTAGACCCAGCACCACCACTTTCTCACTGTGCCCTGGTGCAAAATCACATCGCTTTTTTCTTTTCCTGCTTTAATAGAATGGAAAGAGTAAGACCAGTTGTGCTTTGCCTATAGAGAGGTCCAGGGTGTGGATTTTAGGAATCAGCAAAATGATGCATGTGAATGTACCTTGTAGAAGTATTTAGCTCTAACAAGAGATCACCCCTCTAGATTGTAAAGAACATTTCTGTTTTTAGATTTATTTATTTATTTATTTAATTTTTTTTTTTGTGTGTGTGTGTGTTTAGATTTTAAAAAGCTGGTCTCCCATTGAATCACACTTTACTCTGGATGGGACAAATCTGAAGCTCAGGTTAAAGCTTAGAGCTTTAGAAAGTCAAGTTTTCCTGTACGAGTTAGAGTGTGCCTGGCTTCCTACGTCTGCATGGACTGGCTCTTTCCCAACCCTGCTCTGTCCAGATGGCTTCCAAGATGGTGTAGACATCTCACAAGCACCGCGGACTGTTGAACCCATCTTTGTTTCTCTGGCTATACCCATAAACTAGATAGGAATCACTGGCAGCATTGTCATATCTGAACAGGAAGTTATCTTAAAAGGAAATTTGTTAGCATAAATCCTTTAGCATAAGATAAATTGACGATCAGAGTATGTCTGGCTTTCCAGAACTAAGATCTTGGCAGTGTTGATGTCTAAGACAAGAGAATTGTGTGTGTGTGCACATAAGTTAGAATATACTGACCCCATAAATGATGTCTGAGACGGTCCTCACCTGACCTTTGAGGATTTCGTGGAGGAGCAGGTGAATCCCATACAGAGTGATGGCGTCCTCCTTTCTTAGTTTGGGTGGCTGCCTGTGAGTGGCCTGGTGGGGAACGGGATGGTGGTGGAGAGTATTATGACCTTATGACCGAAAGAATATCTAATTTCTGTGTCCTTGTTCAATGACCCCAGCGTAGGGATCCTTGTCACTGACGAAGCAGGGGCCAGAGGCTCTCTAAGACAGAAAAGCACTTCTGGGGTTGGACTTCAGATTGGAACTGGCAAAGATCTTCCTTAGTTACTATCTTTATTCCTAGTTAAGGCAAAAATAATGAGTCAGTGCTTGAAGGCACAAAAGATTGTGCTGCCTTAGGATGTCCCAGAGGATTGATCTAGTAATAATTTTCTTTCTAAGGTTTTACATAGCAGCAGACATGGACTGACCTTGGAGTCAGTCAAAATAATATTGATAAGACAAGGGTATATTGTAAGGTTTTTTTTTTTTCCCCAGTAGGAAGTTTTCCACCTTGCAGTCCTTTCGAACTCATAGCACCTCCTCCAACATTTGTGCTATGTGCTGCCTTCATTCTCTCGGGGCTGGATGGACTGGAGGGGAGGCAGGAGGAGTGCTATATAATGGGATTAATTGCTGGCAGTGCTGAGCATCTGGTGTAATGATTCACAATGGCTTGTGTTTCCAGGCAGTGGACCAATCCAGCTGTGGCAGTTTCTTCTGGAATTACTCACTGATAAATCCTGTCAGTCTTTTATCAGCTGGACAGGAGATGGCTGGGAGTTCAAGCTTTCTGACCCAGATGAGGTAAGAGGGGAGTGGCTTGAGAGCCCTGTGTTGGAGGAGGATGAGAGTGAACTCTGGAAAGTGGTGATGTGGGCCTGGATGACATTTTCTGGGATTCCAGCCCCACCTCTGCCCCTTGGTCCTTGTATGACCTTGAGCCAGTGACAAAGCCTGCCTGAGACTTGAGTTGCATCCTTTGGACAACAGAGAAAATATCTACACTGCCCATTTGTTTCCCAGGATTCGTGGAAACGATACATAAGAAATGCCTGGCACATGGCAAGCCTTCATAAATACGGGTTGCCTTTTCTGACTTGGCACTTGTCCTGGTCTCGTGGCCCTGTGAATCTAGAAGGGGGTTGGACAATTCAAGAGGTCTTGGAAGACCAGGACAATCTGTTCATTAATTCATGATTTTATTCAACAAATGCATGTGGAGCGGTTGCTCTGTGCCCTGCCCCATTCTGAGCACGACAGATTTGAAAACACCGACCAAGAGAGACAACATCTCGGGTCTGGCTGACTAGAAGATAGGGTCCTCTGGTGTAGAAAAAATTCTTCCCTTTGATGAAACACAGGCATGACTGCAGCTTAGCCTTGCCCCACTGCCTCACGTTAAATTTCACGCTTGCAGAGCGAAGGTATCCTACCAACAACATGAGGAAAGAGGAGAGTCTATAGTGTTGCTTATCTTTTTTCCCCCCATTATCAGGCACCTTAACTCTATTATATAGAAACACAGGGTCAATATATTTTCATTACTTTGAGCAATCTTGCCCAGCTCTTTTGAAAACTGGAATTCAGAATAAGTGGGTGAGAAAAAGATCTTCCATCCACTTGAATCTCAAGCCATCTTACCTGAACAACATCATGGGTCATGATGACGGGATATGGGGGCAAATAAACATATGTACTTGGATTATCCCATAGGTATTTACCCTGTCTCTTTTTCATTTTTTATTTTTAAATTTCAGGTGGCCAGGAGATGGGGAAAAAGGAAAAACAAACCTAAGATGAATTATGAGAAACTGAGCCGTGGCCTACGCTACTATTATGATAAAAACATCATCCACAAGACAGCGGGTAAACGCTATGTGTACCGCTTTGTGTGTGACCTGCAGAGCCTCCTGGGCTACACGCCCGAGGAACTCCACGCCATGCTGGACGTCAAGCCTGATGCCGACGAGTGATGGACACCACAGGGCTCGGGGAAACTCTGCTGAGACATTTCGAAGAACAACCATGTCGGTCGGACTCTTAATTTTTAATTGTTATTCTATTTTTAATTTTCCAGAACTCATTTTTTTACATTCAGGGGTGGGAGCTAAATGAGCTGCAGCTATAATCAATTGTGCGCAGTTGGAAAAAAAGAGAGCCAGGACTTGTGGGGTGGGTGGGACAAGAAATTCTTGAGCAAATTTTCAGGAGAGAGAGAGAGAAGGGTCTTTTTAGAAGCTTGAAAGATCTGGCTTAAGGGAGGAGGAGATGAACGTGTACCATTATTTCTAAAAATCATCCATGAAAAAAAATGTGTCTTGAGTTATGAGTTATGGATCTATTAGCAAAAGAAATTGAGACATCAGGAGTCATGAGACCCATGAAAGGCAATTACCTTGCTTTTGTTTTAAGGTCTGGGAGGGCAAAAAAAAAAAAAAAGAGGGAGGTGGGATAAAACATTTGTGTGGGGGATGCACTAAAAAACAAGGACTATTTACTTTTGACTCGACTTTCGAAACAAAGATGGACTTCAATGGAGAGGGGCCCAAACTGTTTTTGTGTTAAAATCTATTTTATTAAATTTTGTGCCAGTATTTTTTTTTCTTAAAAATCGTCTTAAGCTCTAAGGTGGTCTCAGTATCGTGGTATCATGCAAGTTTGTTTTTATTTGCCGGCTGAGAATTCTGTCAAAGTGCAAGGAAACTGTTTATATAGACCCCACTGGAAATGCAAAGTGCTGTCACTGAGATCGGGGATCCCAAATTCATGTGACTTCTATATGAAGGAAAAAAAATATATCATGCTGACTTGGGCACAAGGGACCTGTGCATGTGAATTTCATCTGGGTTTTAAAAAAGGATCACACCCCTCTACTTACCTGTCATTAGCGGATTCTCCGGGTTTGGACTTAACATTGAACTAAGAAGCATTAAGTCTTTGAACTGAATGTATTTTGCAGCCCTGGTTTTGGATCACAGTCACTGTAGGAGCACTGTTGAAGTCATAGAAAGGAGATTGAAAGAGGAAGAATGACTTGTTTCTTTGTTGGTTCTATACCTGCAACATTTATGACTTGGAATAAACGCTGTGTGCATGGGCATTACCCCTCAGGTCTTAGGAAGTAAGTCCTGAATGCATGTCATCCCAGACCAACACTCTATACTTTCTCCTTTTCCCAGCATCCCACGTTTATTACTTCCCCCCTTACCCCCACTACCCTGTTACCCAGTAGAGAGAAATGTACAGCTTTCCGACCTGTGAGTGAAAGAGCAATGCGGTTATGGCATGAGTTGACGGGTGTCTGACAAAGCCATTCAGACATCCTGGGTTTTAGGGACAGTCGAAATTAAGGTTGCATAGAAGTAAAATGTGGCTTGGCTGTCTTTGGGAAGAGAAGTGCACGGCTTTCCTTTGAAGAGTTGAAGCTAGCAGAGTCAGGTGTCAGGTGAGGCTGTGTATGCAGACACCGTGAGGGCCTGTGCTTGGATCTGTTTTCCTGGCACAGGGTAAGTGAGGGTGAATGATTGCAGAAGAGGTGAACGACATGAGGACAAAGGAAACATAAGAAAAGGAGCTTGAGTGAAGAAAATGAGGTGGTCCATGAGATCCGAATAGATTTCTAGTTCCTCCCGAAGTTCAACGACAAGCTGAAAGGACCGGGGCAGTGTTGAAGGGTGGTCTGCAAATGTTTGGATTTATTCCCCGGGCGGGGAGGGGGGAACCAGCGTGTGACCAGTGGGAAAAAGTGCCTACTACACTCAAGCCCCCCTGCCCCAAATAGATGCCTGATTAAAAAGGATGCTGACAGAGGGACAGCTCTCGCGGACTTCAGTGGGAGAGGGGAAGAGACATTGAAGGTGGGCTCCGGCTGAGAGACTGCAAGTACTACCTACCTGCTAGCGAATCTTTGAGAAAGTGGATCGTTGACTCCCGGGTCCTCTTGCAGACCCTGACTTATCAGGAACTTAGCTCTGGGGTTCATGAGTCTGCTCACTCTGATACCGATGTATCAGAGCGTCCACTTGGGAAGCAAAGGCAGACTTGGCTTCCAGATGCAGATGCCTTAATGAAGCTCTCGAAATATTTTAGGAGCTGCTCAGGGAGTGTTAGGTGGAACCGTCGGGCTACATTGTTTCCTCTTAGACTATGTGATCTTTGTTGGGCACTGGCCAAGGCGTGCGTGTGTGCGTGTGCGTGTGCGTGTGCGTGCGCGTGTGCTTGCAGATGTGCAGAACTGCCGCTAAAATAATAACCTGGGTTTTTCGGTTAAGTCTTTCCACGTTTCAGTAGGGGGCAAGAGTAGAACCAAGGCAGGGCATCGGGCCTTGCTAGCTGTCCGCAACCTGGCATAACATGACTTTTTCTCAGTGCACCAGCCTTTCCTTTGGAATTTATGCTGAGAACTCCCCTTGTGTGAGTGTGTCGAAGTCCTGCAGTAGCTCCGTAGCAGATAAGAGATAAGGAAGTGCCTCCTCATGCTCCTCATCCCACTTGTTTGCTAAGAGGCCTCTCTCCTCTAGGTCCGCCATTTTCAGTATTTGTAGCTAGTGCGCTAGTGAAGACAGCTTTGTCCATCTGGCCAGATGCTTTTTTTCTCCTTCTGTCCAGAGGCCAGAGACCATCCCAGGAAGAGTGGTGGGTGGTTTATACACTGGAAATGTAGCAGAATTGTTGCATTTATGCTTTTTAAAAACACATGTTAACTTCAGAGGAAGGATGGGCGAATCTGGTTTAGTGATGAAACCCTTGTTTTCCTGGAGAAGCCTTAACCCATGTTGGTTTTGGTGGTCGGGTTCAGGGTCACTTTTGTTTCCCTCTCCATGCAGGGGAGGGACTTCCCTACACAGAGCCCCGGTTTTGTGGCTTTGGGGATTGGAGGTGGCATTCGAAGATCAGATGTGCTTTTCCTCACTTTGGAGACAAACACTCTGGGTTTTAGAGCATTAACCTGCCTAATCTTCATGGTGAAAATCACACCTTCTCTGTTCTAGTCATGCTGTGCATGCTGCTTTCTGTTGGGGTCTATATAAATGTGTTGAACTCATATCTACATTCCAAAGAAGTTTCAAGGAACCATAAATATATGTATACATATACATATATAAAGTATATATATTAAAATGAAATTATCTCTATCAGGAATACTGCCTCAGTTACTGAACTTTTTTTAAGAATACTTTTTTTTTAAGCTGAGAAGTATAGGGGTGAAAAAGATGTTATATTGTGTTTGACTATTTTCCAACTTGTATTTTCATATAATTTATATTTTTTAAAAGCTGAACATTTAAAAGCAAGATGAAAAAAAAAGGAAAAGCAGGTGCTTTTTAAAAATCAGAACTGAGGTAGCTTAGAGATGTAGCGATGTAAGTGTCTATGTGTTTTTTTTTTTAAATGCAAAAAAAATTTCTTATGGGGGAGTTTTTTGTTTGTTTATTTTAGTAGCTGATGCTGGCACATCATTTTGCTGGAGAGTTTTTTATATACTGTAGCCTGATTTCATATTGTATTTTAAACTGTGTGAGATTAAAGACAAAGAAATTCATTCATAACAATGTGGGTTTGGCTCGATTCTTTCCTGTCTGGTGCATGTGTGAAAAAGCAGGACAGACCCACCAACCAGAGACGAGCACAGGAGGAAATGCAGTTCAGTCTTGCTGATCTCACTGTGTCAAGACCAGTTCAGATAAAGATTTCCCAATAAACTTATAATGAGAATACAGGGAAGTATAATGCAATGCCCCGATTATTGGCTATGCGGTGTCATCCTTTGTGGAATGTTCCTGGCCTCGTCACACCGCATCTTGTTCATGTCTGAATGAACTAAGAGCCACGTGAAGCAAATTTTTAATGACTCAGCAGATAAACATTTGATTTCAACTGAGTAAAGTTCCTGATATTAACACAGAAAGTCGAACATTTTAGTTGATGCTTTGGACGTGAACAGGATTCTGGTTTCTTCTTTCGATACGAATTTTGCTCTGTGAAAACTTGGCCCGATCACATTCATCTCCTTGGCCCTGACTCTTTCATTGAGGCCGAAAATGGGGAATGCTCATATCTGTCAGAACCCCCAGCAGCCCCCGTCATAAATAAAATCATATTTATAAGCGTTTTGGGGAGGAGCGCTTAGGAACACATCCTGCGTGGTACTTTTCTCTTGTTGTTGAAACTGTAGAAGGTGGATGTTTTTAATTAACACCAGCATTTGCAACATGAATCCCGACTCACAGCTGGAAAGGGAATTTTTGCTGAATTGTTCACAAAGAGAGCTCTGTTTTTGGAAAATCTGTTTCTCCCAGCCTGGAGCTTGAGGTTTGCTGACTGCACGTTGAACATTGACTGTGTGGTCTAGTGGTTACAGAGCTGGACTGGCCACGGCGGGACGGCGCTGACGGGGAGGTGGGTGGCTCTGGATCTTCCATCTCAGCCAAGCTACCACCACTCACGGGGAGACTTGGGAAGATGGCTTGAGGTCCTTATATTTTTTAGTCTTCTGCTGCAAACCCAAGCAAAGACGCAACTCCTGAGCCAACCTGAGGCCACATCTGAGCCATCTCCCCTTGAATAAACAGTGCACAGAGAATAGGTTTCTGCCTTAGTCAAGAATTTGGTCAGAGAGCTTACCTTCTGTAAGCCAAGCTGCTATTCTCCCCCAAAGGATCTGATTTAATGCTGAACAGGTTAAAAGATACAAGCAAGATATGCTTGAATGAAAAAAATAAGCCTCTACCTCTGTTTCTCCAACTAGGAGCTAGACTTGAGAGGGGACATCTCAGTTTGCTGATTTCCCTTAATGATACTGCCGAGACCGCCATATTGAAGCTGTGGTGGTGGCAGCTGGGCCAGAGGCAGTGTCTTCTCGAACGACTGGAGGATTTGGGGGACTAGGGTAAGGTGAAGATAAAAAGAGATGCAGGGAAAAGGGGGAAATCATTCAGAAGAGGCAGGTCATCAAAAACCCGTAGATTTGACAGGCTTTCAGGGGGTTATGGGGTTAGGTAATTGCCCAAGGCTAATCTGGCTCACCACTGCCATGGCTTTGGAGCAAACTATAATACTCATGCCACACAAACAAACAACAACAGAAACGAAAACAGGAACAGCAGAAGTTTCCTGTAAAATGAGGTGTAACTATTTTAACCTAAAAAGGAAGAGGCTTGTGATTTGTGCTTTGGGTAAAATGAGGCAGGCAATGGACATGAGAAGTTACATGTGGGCAGACTGTGGGCTGATTGTGCACCACGCAGATGTTCACTTTGGCCTCCACAGTCGTGGGACTCACCTCTGCAGCTCAAGGAACAGTGTACTACGGTAGGGTCATGGGTGGTCTTTGAATACTGGTGTTCCTCTGTAGCAATGGCCCATGGTCAACACTGAGTGTAAGATGCCCCTCAAATTGAACACGAATCTCCTGATTCTAGGAGGAAGTCAGCCCCACACATTGACACTCCTGCCTGGTCCTTGTAGAATTTGACTTTGTGACCCTTATGGGGATAGCCATCTATTCACATCCCGTGTTGACTTGGCATGAAGCTCATTTTATTCTAGAACCTACAGTGGAAGGGAGTACAAGAGGTCATCGTGTTCACCGGCACCATCTGACTCCTGAGCCCTTGTTCTTTCCATTATGCCAGGCTGCCACCAACAGCTCCAAAAGGTCTCCTTTGATGATGTTGGCTAATGGCCCCCTGTCCGTGGGAACCACAGCCCCAGTTACTAGGAGGTACACTTCCCAACATCAAACACAGGACGACAGTCTTCTTTCTATAAGGACACCTTTCCACTTCCACAACTCTGCCTCTGCTTTTCCCCAGTGGTGGCTCCGGGAAGGTGGTTGATGATGCAGTTTCCGTTGTACAGAGGCCTTCTTCTGGCTCAGATACAGAGATGCTTGACCTGGGTATTCTGCCCTTGCCATTTTATGGGCGAACAGACCCAGCAGGCTGCTGAGTGTTCACTGCTCTTTGAGATCCCTCCATGCTCTGAGAATCCTCCCCTAAGAACAACAAATAACAAAGGAGAAAAGCACTTTCCTGGCACTTCTGGCAATGAGGCAGAGACTTAAGGTTTCTGATTAAAGCAGGTGTTGATCAATTGGTGAAAATTGAAGTTGAGATAAAAAACACTCATTGAGAATTTAAAACAGCACAGTAGGAAGTAAGATGGCTCGGCTTTGCCTCTACCCCTTGGCCAGAGCCATTTCCTGTTTTACTTAGTGTTCCAATCCCTTTTCCCTTTTCCATTTTCCTGGAAAAATATTTCTATCCTGAGAAAGCCGGGTTCATTCAATTGCCTGGTCTATCTCAATGTGCTGACGTCCAAAGTAATGATAGTGACGACCGTCTGCCCATGGCAACCCAAGAGAATCAACAATGACCACCAGGTCTCATGACGCATGGTGCAATCCCCAGAGCCCTTGTGAGTTCACAGTCCTGTCCCTAATCTCTCATCCCTGCCACTCAGACTCTAGTGTTCTCTCGACCACAGCATTTTTACAGAGCTTTGATGTCAGGTCAGCTCTGGTCGCTACATGTGGTACCACGTGTAGGAGCGAGGAAGTTTTCAGCAGCCACTTGTGGGAATTACAGGGCGTCAAGAGATAGTCACTGCCTTCTTCTCCCTGCCCAATCCACATTGTCGGACTGCCACTGACCCTGGGAAGTAGCAAGCTATTTTTAATTTTTTTACAGGCAAATCTTGAAATTTCAGCTGTGACACTGCTTCTCTCCTTTCAGGGGCTGTCCCCCAGATGTGCCTGGAAATAGTAAGTGACTCAAAGAGATGGCAACAGTCTTCACAAGGCTGGAAAGTTGATGATGCCTATTGGCTTTGATCTGGGACTCCCTTGTTGAGGCAAGGATATCCCAAATGTTAGGAGGAGAGATGGGATTGGGCACTTTGAAAGGGCTTGGGGAATGGTGTAGTGTGTTCATATGAAGTAGTCCTTGCTCATACAGCTCACGGGGGAGCACAAGTTCAGAACCCCCAAAGTAATTGAATTGGGGAATCTTCTCTGCTAATCTACTTCTTGGGTAGACCAGTTTTGTCCCATTGGTTCTGATTTCCATGAAAATAAGAAGGTTTACAATTACAGAGCCAAGACACTTTTTATCTGAGATGTTTACATATTAGGGGAAAGATAAGAATGATGGTAAAGACAATGACCAGTGTTTGAAGGGTAAATAGACATTTCCTTCAGGTATCTGTTTTCTCTTGGTCAAGTTTTCATGATGACAGCACAGACCTGTGTACTTGAACCCAAGGGGATTTAAAGTGTTGTCTTTATTGACCGACTTCAGACCACTGGGGTAGCGAATGGACTTATCCGGGCTCAGACTTCTTGCTCAGGAGCAGGTAGGGGAACCAGATGGGCACCTGCATGATGATGGGGCATGTTCGCTGTTCTGGGCACCCATGTGTGCAGCCTGCTTGAAATCCTAGAATAGAAATCCCACAAATTCCAGATTGCCTTCTCGGCCACCACAAGTAACAACCGCAAACTGGAAATGCAGCCAGCAAAGACTGAATTAAAACAAGAGTGACCACAAAGCCTGGTATACCTGGGACATTCCCAAGGTCTACCCATTGTCTGGGAATAATCATTCATAGCAGTTCCTCCCACTTCCATTACACTTTATGCGGTTTCCTTATAAAACCCGTTAATGGCCTAGAAGCTGATGAATGGAAGAGCAAACACCAGATTGCAAAATCCTACATTTTCCAGCTAATAGGGACCTTGAAGATGATCTAGGCCAACCTCTTCAATGAGGCATGCATGAACTCAAAGTCAAGAGAGGCCAAAAGACTTGCGCATAGTCCCCCGATTATTGACAGAACTGGCAACCAGAAAGCACATCTGATTGCCCCCGTGTCCTCTCAGTCCTATCCTTCTTCCTTTACCATATTGGACCTCATCCAACTTCCAGGCAACACATCGCAGTCTAAAGTTGACCCTCGCTGATTTAGAATTGATCATGACAATTCTATTAGTTCTGGTAGATTCCAGCAGTCTGCTAAGTGCTCATGTTCAGGTTGTGAACGGGGAGGTCCTAAAATGACAATAGGTCTTAACATCTGGCTTTCAGAAGCTGAAAGTGCAGGAGGCATGAAATTGCAATTTATGAGACTACAGGATGTCATGGCTGGAAGGTACCCTAGGCGATGATACTACTGAACAAATTTATTCAGGTTGCAACATTCATGGAACACCTGCTCTGTGGTTGGCACTGGACTCAGGGTTAGGGAAACCATAAGGAAAAGACAGACCCAACTTTTCCCTTTCCTCTGCTTTTAGTAAATTAAGACTGTAGGCAAGTCAAGGGAGAATGACTATCCAGTGCAATAATAGTACGATTTGACATCTAGGAGGAGCACCCGTCCTGGAAGAATTTATGCCCTAAAGGTGAGCAGCAGTCAGCCAAGCGGAAATGGAAGGAGGTTCAGGTTGAGGTTCTAGAGGTGAGAAAGTTCATGGACTGAGAGAGAAACTGGAAGTCCCTTTGCAGAACCAGAGCACAGGGTGAAATGGAGTAGTGGTGAGTGGTGAGGAGGGGGAGATGGAGGGATGATTCTGAGCCTCATGCTCTGGAGGCCTGAGGACCTTCCTGCAGGCCAAC